AAAAATACACTGAACAACTTTTTTTTTTTTTTTTTTTTTTGGACAAACAGTTCTCAATTCCCTCTGCCCAAAAGATAATGAACAGCCAAACTGAGCCTACATCTTCTCTCTCTCTCTCTCTCTCTCTCTCTCTCTCTCTCTCTCTCTGTGAACAACTTTTGCCTTGGGGTCATATCCAAAAACTTCAACTGAATTTAAAATAAAAAAACACATAAGTTTCATAATTTTTTCTTGAAAAAAAAAAAAACCAGCTTTGGCCTCAGGAAAAATAGTTCTTTAATTTTTAAAATTCGAAGAAGAAGTCAAAAAACAAAATAAAAAATTGCGCAATTTGGATCTCAAAAAGATCTACAACCCTATATTTTTTGTTTTTTTTCTTTGAGAATTTTTTGAAGTCTAAAAAAATCCCTGAAAGTCGCGGCCGGAGCAGCGGCGGCCGTGATCACGGCCGCCCTCCGAGCTCGACCCCGCGGACGCGTCCATGGGTGTTTCGTAGCCTCTGAATATTTGAGGGTATCAGAGAGCATACTCACACAAGGACTGACCTTTTTTTTTTTTTAATCCCAAATGCCAGCGACCTCTACTAGAGGGGGTGTGGTATGAGCAGCCACCTCTAGTAAGCGTTCCTGGTTGGACTTCCTGAATGCATCGAACCACAATTATTGCCAGCCGTGAATGTATCTCACTGGGAATCATGTCCAGAAGACCAGTCGAAAAGGCGTGTGTGCGAGTACCCCACAGCTCTTGCGCGCCTTGTGGGTAACGAAAGATTAGGCCCAGGTCCAACTGGTGCTACGTTCTCGCTACGGGCACACGAACCTGGCCGTTATCACGGTGATGTTCATGCTTTTCCCATCCGTGAACATAGCACCAGTGTGGCTTCCCCCTTCCTCTCCAGTGGCTTGCAGGCTGGTGACGAAATAAAAAATCACTCCTAGACTCCTTGAGAATCATTTTTATGAACTCGACATCTCGAACGCAATTCCTTAAACCGGCCCTACCTCTCCGAGTGGAGGGCTAAGTAGTAAATATAACCTTTAGTACCTTTAGTACCTTAAGTACCTACAAGTGGACCTGCCGCAGCGACGCTGGGGGGAAGGACGATGACAAAACATTTTGCGAAACACCCCTAGCGGGCGCTGCCATCAGTTGGATCCCATCTTTGCAATGTACCCCTACCGGACGCTGCCGAACTTTGGAAAATGCCCCGGCAGTTGCAAAGTTTTCGCGCACACACACACACACACAAAAAAAAAAAAAATAATAATAAAAAAAAAAAAAGTGTATACCTATAGTTACCTATAGTGCCTATACTGCATTCTTCTGCGCTGGCACTTGGGCAAAAAGCTTGGCGCACAGTTCCACTCCACTTTGGCACAAAGAGGCCCGGAGGTCCGGAGGCAGTGGTGGTGTAAGCTTTAAACCACCACTCCATCCAGAGCTAAATTGACGAACAAAAAAAATGCCTTTGTCACCGAAGGTACGGTGGTTTTGCAGGGACTAAAATCTACACTGCAGGCATTTGGAAAATTGAAGGTGGGTAGGCTGGTACCCCCTCTCTACTGGGCCTCGCTCGGCACTGTAGACTTTGGCCCCCGTACTCGTGAACGAGTAAAATCTGCGGTGCAGGGCCCGCTGAAACTGGTGGTTTAAACTTTAAAGTTTAAACCACCACTGCAGTACTTCCTAGAAACTTCTCTCCGAGGCTGGGAATGTGCGGCGCTGAAAAAAAAAAAAAAAAAAAAAAAAGAACTGGCACAACTTTCTTTAGGCTGGCGCCGCCAGCCGCCAGCCATTTTGCTCTTGTACCGGAGGCCCGAGGGTTGCCGCGCATATACGGCAAGGGCCCGCGACCGACGGATGGCCCAAGTGCTGGTGGTTTGATTGGAATATTTGCCGCCGGCCTCTGAATTTTGAAGGGAAGGAGGGGGGGGGGTTAGGATAATATTTGCCGCTGTTGTTGGAACTGAAGGGAAGAAGAAAGGCAACAGCATTTTGGACAAAAAAGGTTTGAAAAAACTTTCAAAAAGTTAAAAAAAAAATAAAAAACATTTTTTGCTGACCGTGCTGCTCTGCGGCGGTGCCTAGCTAGCATGAACTTGGCCATTCTCACGACCATTGTCATGCTTCACGAAATAGTCCCAGTGGGACCTTGGGCATGGGTATCAACCAATTTCTTTTCCGTGCCCCGAATAAGCAGAGCGAACCCCCTTTTTTTAAGGGTTTTTTTTTTCCCCGTCAACCTGTGTTTTTCTTTTTAATCTATGGAAAGGGGTAGCCCCTAGCATTATTGGATTCACCTCATTCCATCAACAATCAGACTCGTGACCTTCTCTCTCTCTCTCTCTCTCTCTCTCTCTCTCTCTCTCTCTCTCTCTCTCTCTCTCTCTCTCTCTCTCTCTCTCTCTCTCTCTCTGTGTGTGTGTGTGTGTGTGTGTGTGTGTGTGCTGCTTGTTTCCGTGTATTACCTTCCTACAGTACATTTCTGCCATAGCAGTTTTGCTTGATGGCCATCAGGTTGTCGTCTCCCTCAACCACGACGGGAAAGAGTGTGGAGCAGGGTTCCTTGGATGTGTGGAAATCGACGGCGTAAGTTCTGTTGCATATCCCTCTGCTGCATGCTCTGCTTTTGTTCTCTCTGAGCATGAGACGAAAAAGAAAAACGTAGAGAAGTGGCCGCAGCATACTTATAGAGTGTACGTCCAAGTTTTGTTTGTCATCTGCACATGAGATCACGTGCCGCATTCATCGCTTTTTTTTGTTTGTTTGTTTCTTTCTTTCTTTTTCGTCTTCTGTTGTTTTTGTGTGTTGTCAGGTTTTCTCTATACACAACTTCCACAAACAAAAAAAACGCACGACTGTGCAAGACTGGTTCTTTAGCCCTTTCCTACCATAAAGGGGAAGAGCGTGTGTGTGCCCGACATGTATTTACTATTGACTTGCCGGTGGAAGAGGAACCGGACTGATGCTCCCCAGAATGGAAAAGGAGCCAGAAAAGGTTCTGTTTTCAAAAAAAAAAAGAAAAAAAGAAAAAAAAAAGGTTCTTTAGCCTTCGTGCGTGTGTGTGTCGTCGCATAACATTGTCTCACGGAGGGAATAAAATAACAAATGTCATAATGATTCTCCTGCAGGTCGACGTGATTAACGGTAGTGCGGTCCTCAATTTACCTGTAGAGGTGAAGACGGACGAGAGGAAGAGCAAGATCCAGATAAAAGTAGCGACTTTGGCGGAAATGGAGATCAGAGTAATGCAGCAGCAGCAGCAGCAGCAGCCGCAGCAGCAACATGCTGATTTCGGTCGTCTGTATGAGGGAGGACCCCAAGCGCAGGCACCATTCAATTCTGTAAGTCCTACCAAGTCTCACGCCGCTATCCTACACTTGTGATGCCTCCCTGTCAGTGGTTCCGACGCATGCTGCAATTAGCCCCCTATCATCCACTCTCTTCTTCCCCCCCACCACGCTCTCCTCCTGCCCCTGCTTGCTCATCTGCTGCTACTGCAGTTTCCACTGCTACTGCAGTTTCCACTGCTACTGCAGTCTCTACTGCTACTGCAGTTTCCGCTGCTGCAGTTTCTACCGCTACATCATTTACTGCTGCAGTTGCTGTGGCTGCAGCTTCTACTGCTGCTGTGTCTACTTCTGCAGTTTCCACTGCTGCAGTTTTCAGTACAGCACTTTCCATAGCTGAAATTCCTCCTACCGTACTTTTGGCTGCTGCAGCTTCCTCTACCGTAGCTCTAGTGCAAAGAACATCACAGTCTCTCTGACACTCACGTCCTTTATTTCGAAAATACTTCCCCAATCCAACCCTCCCTCATCTCTTTCTGTGCCTGTGCTTGGCAGCAGATGGCTGAGTTCCTCCTCGCCACCTCCATCACCTCCACGGTCCCGCTTGTGAACATAGTCAACAGAGTCATGTGCTCGATTTCGAAATCGTGACCAATCCGCAGCGGGACCCTCGCATCTCTTTTCGTTTGCTGTGTCCGTTTGTTTTCACAAAGTGCGCTCTTTTAGTTCATTAGATATGTGACAACATATCTAGAGTTTTCCATCTGGTGTGGGTGAGTGATTTGATTTTCGTCACAGGTAAGTCTGGAAGGGGAAATTGATTCGTTTTCCGTTTTTTTCGTTTTTTTTTTCTTTTGGTGATTCAGGGGCAACCCCCCCAAAAAATGTTCTGGACTTTCTGAACTTGTTTTCTGGCCCTTTCAGTTAGCCAATGAGGGCCAGGCTGAGACTGATTCTGTCTTTTTCTTTTTTTTTCTTTTTTTTCTTTTTTTCTTTTTTTTGATAGAGAGAGAGAGAAGAGTGTGTGTGTGTGTGTGTGTGTGTGTGTGTGTGTGTGTGTGTGTGTGTGTG